CTTTGCTGCCGCCGTGTCATTTGAACTTGCATTATCTACGGTGATGGTGCGCACATTTTCAAGAACCCAACTTAATAAACATATATCCACGGCTTGTGCAATAGCCTCACTGCGATATGGAGTTGGAAGCACACAAGAATTTATAATTTTCTTGTGTAACTTCCAATCTCTATCAATAAAATGAGCCGTAAGGCATATGTACCCAAGGTTTTGAATAGAAGTCCATAAATCGATAGTGAGACACATACGTGAAGCAGAAAGTTCAAAAAGTGTCTTCAACTTATTTCTTTCACTTAAATATAATTCAATACAATCCTTCGTAACTGTGGTTCGTGAAATCATATGGAATCTTGGTTCTGCATAACTTATAAACCTTTTAAAACCCTCATTTTCGACAAAACTAAATGGCAATCCATCAACAATAATCATCCTAGCAAGCTCTTTTCGAAGAACATCTTGGTCAAATGTCCAATTGGGATCCTAGTTTTGGGTTAATGCTGAGAATTTTCCAACTTTATCCTTATTATAAAGATAATCAGGATACCTATTAAGATGCCTACTAATGGTAGTAGTACCATAACTACTCGGACAATTATATGGTTTGTGACAATAATTACATGTGACTGTCATGTATGATCCGTCCACCAACATTTCTCTTGTAACATGGTCCTAAACAAAAGATGTAGTCTTATAGGGTTTTTTTTTTTTTTTTCCTTTTTTTACGATTTACCTCAAAACAAGTTGAAGAGTTTGAAGTTGGTTGGGTTTCATATCCAGTTTCTTCCATGTCTGACATCTTCAAGAAATGTTTGTTGCAAAAATATAAAAATATATAAAGTATCTAACAATTACAAACCTGAATAATAAATATATTACACAAAATAAAAAAGAAAAAATGAAGAGAATAGTTTACTAAATATACATATCTACACCTTCTAATATGTATATTTGTGTGTATATATATATATATATATATATATATATATATATATATTTGGATATATTAAGACATTTGATACGAGATAGTTTACTAATTACAAACGAAGTGGTGTATTTGTTTTGTACAATTTAATCAAGCAGCAACAAACAACAATATGTAAAATTGTGCACGAAGTTGAAGCACCAGGGGAAAAATGAATCTACATGTCCTTCCACTTCCACTGCTGTTGAGTCAACCAAACCATAGTAGGCTATCAATATCATATTGAAAAATCATATTTATTGAAAATCGGTGTCAACATGAGGTAAAATAATACTGAAGTTTAGATTTCCAAAATATATATACATTATCAACCATGGAATGCCCTCGTGCAAGTGTATCACAAATACAAAGTCATTGATGCAATATGCATACATACTTGAAAATGATAAATTTTCGTAATAAGAAGTTTATACGGATATATACACAAATATTTCATATTAGAGTGTCAACAAAGACAACAAATTCTTATTCCTCATTACTTAGACAAACACCACCCTAAATCAAAATAGGTCAAAAGAAAAAGGAAGAAAAAATCAATACATAATTCGATCAAACAATAAAGATCAAATGCAAATTAAAGTAAAAGAATTAAAATTCAGAACAAAACAATGTTAAAGAGCAGATAGGCATCACACATAGTGACACACACACATAAAACCCTAGTATTGGTATAAAAGAAAAGGCCCAAATCAAACGATCCACATAAATTGAACAACATATATCTGTGAAATGATAATTGTATTGAGAATCGAAGACCCAGATATGGAAAGAGTGTGAATTTAAAGAAAACCTGTTCTTTGGTGGCAAGAGCGGTGTTTCAACTTTCGCGGGAGTCGCCGAGAGATGTGAGATAGAGGGAGTCGCTGAGAGATGTGAGATAGAGGGAGTCGCCGGTAGGTTGCAAGCTTTGCTGCTCGTTTCGACGATACAAAGAAAGAAGAGAAGGATAAAGAGAGAGAAAGTTAGGGTTTGTGACTTTGTGTTTATCGTGGATTATTATTATTTTTTTTTTATGAAATGTTTAATTTGGGTTTTCGGGTTGGGGTCGGGTTGAACCGAGTCCAACTGAATAAGGATGGGTTTTGAAAAAATCCAACCCGGCTTAAACCCGAATTGTGAATTTATATGTTTAGATTTTAAAATTTATGGGCTGGACTCGGGTTGGGCTGGGTTAGCCCGCCCAAGTTGCACCCCTAGTACAGGCCATAAGATATATCATTATGCTTGGAAATTAGGGTAGAGTGTTAGATGAAGACAATAGAAAGAAATCATTAGGTTGTTTGGTCCTGTTTTACGAAAACAAATTTATTTTAAATAATTAAAAAATATATTATTTCTGTCTCAAAATATATATCCTTTTTTGAAAATTTAACTTTTTTAGAGTATGAGTTTTAGTATTTTATTTATTGGATTGTTTGTTGCCTAGGAGTGGTATTTCAATCAAGAAGTTGTTTAGGCTAGATGTGAAATTGGCACCACATTGGTAAATCCAAACATAACTATTAAAGTTTACTTGTGGGAGTGTTAACGCTTTATGAGGATAACTTGGGCCAGATATGAGATTGGCTCCATATCGGTAAACTCTCACACTGAATAGAAGGTTGGCGGTTTGCTGTAATATGCTCAGGTGACATACCGCAATGATATGAAGTAAGACAGATAGTGAGGTGTGTGTTTAGACTACATGTAGTTTGCACATGTAATGAAATACAGTAAAAATCACTATATTTGCTTGAATCTTAGATGGAATCGGTTTTGAGACTATGGAACTGTTTAGACTAATATATTACTTGTCTATGTATTTATGATCCACTATTGAGGAATTTATGGAGGAGAGTGTTCTAAAGTTTCAATTCATTAATTTTGATAATTGTGTTTTCTAAATAAAAAAATGAGTGACCACTTAACTTTTATAAAGTGTGTTACAATCCATAATGTCATTTTATAAAACTTAGAGTGCATGGATCAAGTGGGAGATTGTTGAAAATTATATATATATAATAAAAATTATTTTATGATCTTATGCACTACGTTTTCTAAAGTATGATTATTGATACTTGATGGATTGGGTTGTACTTTCCAATTTGGTTTTTATAGTATGGCCTTTATACCGTTGGACTGTGGTTTTCTAACTTACTTGGTGTGATTTAATTCTAACTACTAATATCTAAGTTTTCATGATAGGAAGGGAGACTTAGATATGCTTGTTTGTAGCCGTCTCTCGTTGTTATTATATATAAGGGTTTTAAAACTCTTATTTAGACATATCGTATCGACAACTCTCAGAAGGGGATAAAACGTTTTAATTTTTCAGATCTCTCAAAGGGCACTAAAGAATTCTCAAAGGTATCTAAAATTTAATCTTCTAATCAGGTATGATATCAAATCTTCTCTTTAATTCATGATTAATTTTGATTTCTACATGTTATTTATTATTTAAACCCAACATCTGTTTCTGTATGTAATTTCTCAGAGTTGGAATTAGTCCGCCCACAATTGAAATCAGATTTGAGCATCTAAGGGCCTGTTTGGTTTGTGTAGTGTTAGTGGTGTGTGGTGTTCCCTACAGTGCTATAGTAGCCCATTTCAGAACACATGTTGTTTGGCCCGCCTTGTTGTGTTCTCAACAGTAATGGAACACTTGCTCCACAAACCCAAATTTTGGCCCAAAAGCTAGAACAATAATTTGTTGTTCTATGTTGTTCTAGCCCATCTTTTTTATTGTAGCGGAGGTCAGAGGAAAATTTTTATTAGGGCAAATCATTTCAGCCTCCCAATCGCCTTCGTCTTTATTCTCGTTCTCAACTCTAGAACTTGCTCCCTCTCTCTCTCTGTAACTGTAAACACAAAATCTACAAGGATCAGAAGTTCAAAACGGGCCCTAAGCAATTCTCCATCTTTCCCTCTGCAACTGCAAACTTGTATGAGTTTTGTTTTAATTTTTTTTAGGGCAAATCATTTCAGCCTCCCAAACGCCTCCATCTTTATTCTCGATCTCTCTATGCAATTGCAAACTTGTATGGGTTTTGTTTTAATTTTTTTTAGGGCAAATCATTTCAGCCTCCCAGATGCCTCCATCTCTATTCTCGATCTCTCTCTACAACTGCAAACTTGTATGGGTTTTGTTTTAATTTTTTTTAGGGCAAATAATTTCAGCCTTCCAAACGCCTCCATCTCTATTATCGATCTCTCTCTGCAACTGCAATAGTGGGTTTTATTTTAATTTTTTTTAGGGCAAATAATTTCAGCCTTCCAAACGCCTCCATCCCTATTCTCGATCTCTCTCTCTGCAAATGCAATAGTGGGTTTTGTTTTAATTTTTTTTAGGGCAAATAATTTTAGCCTTCCAAACGCTTCCATCTCTATTCTCTCTCTCTCTCTCCCTCTCCAAGCGCAAACATGGATGGGTTTTGTTTTAATTTTTTTTAGGGCAAATCATTTCAACCTCCCAAACGCCTCCATCTCTATTCTCGTTCTCAACTCTGCAAATCCAATTTTAGGGCAAATCATTTCAGCCTCCCAATTGCCCTAGTCTCTCTCTCTCTGCAACTGCAAGTCTGGGTGAATGGGTTTTGTTTTAATTTTTTTTTTCTAATAAATCAACTAATCAAGCTCTGTAATTCTTGTTTTGCAAACTAATCAAGTGAAGTAATTAATTTATTTTAATCATTAAAAAAAATAATAATAATTTCTATTCCAAAATTCTCAGAGCAAATTTTCGTCGCCAAACATGTTTTGTTCTCCTTTCAGAACACTACACCACACAACACTTATTCTGTTCTAGGTTAGAGCATTACACTACACCACACAACACTTTCCAAACAGGCCCTAAATGTTGACGCAGAAGCTTATGTAGGAAGCAGAGCTTTGCCATCTGTCATCAACTTTTCTGTTAATACAGTGGAGGTAACATATGGAAATTTGGTTCACTAGCTCTTATTTTACAGATTTTGCCCAAGTGTTTCTTCATTCTAATTTATCCTCTGTTCAAGAGGGTTTATTGAACTGTCTCCATATACTTCCAAGTAGAAAGAAGCATATGACTATTCTACATGATGTTAGTGGAACCATCGAGCCTTGCAAGGTGTGTCAGGGGAAGCCGGTCGCCTTGGGCCTCAGATTTTAGAGGGCCTCAGATTGTGAGGCCCATAGGGGATGGAGAAAGGTCAAAAGAAAAAAGAAAAAAGAAAAAAGAAAAATAAGTTAGGGTAAGTTTCAGACGACACAATCTGCCACGAAGTAGAAAGAAGCATATGCTAGTGGAATCATCAAGCCTTGCAGGTGAGTCTGTGCTAGGGCCGGCCCTGGCCCAAGGCGACAGCGTAGCCCTGGGCCTCAAATTTTGAGGCCCATAGGGGATTAAAAAAATAAAAAATAAAAAATAAAAAAAAGTTAGGGCAAGTTTCAGACGACACAATCTGCTTCGACACTCCGCAGGGCTCGGCCTCCGCTATCGCCTAAGGTCACAAGGTATGTTCATCCTCTCTCTCTCTTGTGACAGTCTCTTCTTCGATCTTTTATATATGTTTCTTTCTTTCGTTCATCTCATCATTTGATTTGTTCTAACTTTGGTTAGTTCGATTCGGGCCTTTACCTTTGTTCCAATAGTGAAAAGTAGCTAGGGTTTTAATTACCGCAAAAAAGAAAAGTAGCTAGGGTTTTGTGTGTGTCACTGTGTGTGATGGCTATCAAAAGCTGAATGAATATATTATGGTTCTCTTAGTATTTTAATAAATGTGTGCCTTTCTGCATGTGTCTTTCATGGCGATCGAGACCATAATCTATGGCAGGTACTTTTTTGTTTTTTCCTCTCCCTAAGTCCACTCCAATCTCACAACAGCAGCAACCATACCCCTTTTCCTCATAATTTTTTGCATTTTCACATTCAATCCCACGAAAATTAAGGATCCCTTCTAGTGGGTTGAGGTAATAATTAACTTTTTCGATCTCTAAATTATGCTCATACTTAAAAGTGCAAAATTAAGGGTTTTTTATTTTTATTTTATTTTTATATGAAGAGACATACCACCATTATTGATGTTATTTGAAGTTGGCTCAGCTAGAATTTCAGTTAATAATACTGTCAAAGCACTTGCCATCAGAATGTACAGACACTTGGAAATCAAGAGCAGGCTTTAACAAAACAAAAGTTAATGGTTGTTAATGGTTTTTTCTATTAATTTGCACAGGTCTTCTGTAGCAATGATCAATCAATCACTACATTGGCTCCCAAAAACAAACACACACAAAGTGTAGTGTAGTTAATATAAAGAGTGAAAGACAAAACTATATATGATAGTGGATGCCACATGTAACCTAAAAGTCCCACTACTTCTTCAGTACTACAAGTTCAGCCTCCTATATATATATATATATATATAGTCACCTCATCTCCACATATTTTTGTCATCTGTTATCATCAAATTTTAGTAGCTATATAAACAATGACTGTAAAAGAAGCTGCAGTTTTCTGTTCTCTTCATTTTTTATTTTGTGCTTGTGAAAATTTCGCACTCTTTAATTGATAAATGTATTGTTATTAGTTAGCTGTCTTATGCACACTGCACATGCGCAAAATTATTTATTGGTGCTGATAAAAATTTATAGTTATTAGTTAGTTGTTTTAAGAACACTGCACAGACGCACAATTAATTATTGGTGGTGATTTATACTTATTAGTTAGTTTTGTGCACAATTATTTGTTGGTGGTGATAAATTTATAGTTATTTGTTAGTTGTCTTATGCACAATGCACAGGGGCACAATTATATTAGCTATAGAATTTGAAAACATCGTGTTAAAATTTCACACTCTTGTAATTCTTTTTTGCGCGTGTGAAATTCAAGGGCCTCACATTTGAAAGTTCGCCTAGGGCCTCTCAAAATATTTGGAATCTTAGGGCTGTCCCTGTCACTCTGTACTCCTCGTCCGATTCATGAATCAAATTCTGATTAGTTCAATTCTCTTCCCATTTTCAAATTCTGATCACTCTGTTGTTAGCTTTAGCCGGAAAGCTTGATCCAGTCATATATTATTACAGTTGACATCAAAGAAAGATTAGAAGCAGTATTGGCAGGGCCGGCCCTAACCCAAGGCAACCAAGGCGGTCGCCAAGGGCCTCAGAATTTAAGGGGCCTCAAAATTTATAGGCCATGAATGATGGGCCACCAAAAAAAAAAACTGTAACCAAATGTAGCAAATTATTTAAGGGGCCTCAAAATTTATAGCCCTAATGGGCCACAAAAAAAAAAAATTGTAACCAAATACAACAAATCATTTAACGGGCCTAAAATTTTTTTTTAAGGCAAATGCAACAAATCATTTGAACAGACTCAACTCTTAAGCTTACCCCCTCTCTCTCTGTTCTACAAGACTGCAACTGCAACAATCAAAAGTTTTTTTTCCTCAAAAATCAAAAGTTCAAAACCCAGAAAACTGAAAACATCACATCATCATCACCTTCACTCTTCTGTTCCTCTCTCTCTCTCAGTTCCAGACTTCCAGTTCGGGTTCGTAACTCGCAATAGTTGAAAGGGTTGTTCAAGTTCAACACTTCGACTTGTTCAGCCGCTTTAGCGTTATCTCTAACTCGTTCCGAGTCGGCTCAAACGCAGACCGCATCGCAGCTGCATCATCATCGTCTTATTCTTTTGTGTGAACTCACTGAACACTGTAAGTTTTCTACTTTTAAGACAAGTACAATACTCTAATTCAAGTGGTTCTTAAACCAAAAAATTATTTTAATGGATTGCAGTTAATATTAGTTTAGTTTAAATTGTTTAATGGTTCAAAATCTATATCAATATATTTAACTTTTTAAATCATGATACATATTGAAATAATTATGATGGTCCACTGAAGTTGTATAGGTATGGGACGGGAATGTAAAAAAAATGTTACTCTCAGATTAATTAATATTGAAGAACTTTGGCAGAACGTTCCAAACAATAAAATAAAAAAAGAATGGAAAGAGAATGATGCCACCTCAAATTATTATTTCATAAAATAGAATGCATAAAGTTGGAAGTTCTTATGGAATTATTGTTTGACAGATGAATTTGTTGTAATACAGGAGTTTAACTAGCAATCCTTCACTTGAAGACATATCTTTTAGACATCTCATGAGGTATCTTTGTTTTTCTGTAAATCATATTATTGCATATTGAGCCATTGAGGTAATCTATATTTTCTTTCAGCAAAACATTTTTTTTTAAAGTTTAGTTTTATGTTGATTGTGTTTCCTGTTATTTAGATTTATAAGATTTCAAGATTTATGACAATTATGTCTACAAGAAAATTTGAATCTGGGTATGAAAAAAAAGAAAAAAGAAAAAAAAGAATTGATTCAATCTCAAAAAGACGCTATTCATAAGTTTTTTAGGAACAAAGCACAAACTGAGAGTTTAGTTGAAGATTTGGTGAATGAAGAACATAGGAATGAAGAAAATCTTAATGAACATGGAGATTCAATGAATAGAAATGATGAGAGTTTAGTTGAAGATTTGGTGAATGAAGAATATAGAAATGAAGAAAATCTTAATGAACATGGAGATTCAATGAATAGGAATGAGAATCAACATTAGCACTTTAATTGATAATTTTGCAGCTCAAAATGCAAGACAATCACATTTACTTTAGGCTCCGTTCGGTATGACGGAAGAAAATTGGATGGAAGGGAGAGAAGAAGGGAATGATGAGACATCCCTAGGGAAGAGATTATGAACTTCCTTCATTTTGTTTGGTTGGATGGAAGAGACGAGAAGAACCTACCAAATTCCTTTGTTTGTTACGAGAGAAGGAAAGAGAGAATTTAAAATTATTTTTACCATTATACCCTTCTATATAATATCTACAAAAAAAGTTAAAAAACAAAAAAAAAAAAAAAAAAAAAACTTAAACAAGTACATACCATATAACTATATTATAACATGTCAGTATTTTCCAAACTCCATATCTCGACCAAATAAGGGTTACAGAGGTCAGGCTCAAGGCAAGCGTGGGGTACAAAAGTTTGAGTTCTTTGTGTAGATGTTAGGTAATTGTGTTACAAATTAATGATAGATTGTCACTGTGAGGCAATAGCAGAAGATATCTAATTTTTTATATATAAAAAATATACCAAAATAAATATTGGCAGACGGAAAAATGCTAGTTTATGTGAAATTATTGGTAAATTTTCAAATTATTATTCCAACTGGAAGATCAAAAGTCAATGATTTATTGCTCTTTGAGGGTTTCATTCTTTTTATTTCATCAATTGAAAAGTTGTTTGTTCTCTTGATGGGTTTAACAAGACAATTAGTTACACGACAAGTTCTATCCTCCCTCGATCGTTTACTTAACTTGTATGCAAAAGTATAGAGTTTTCGATTCCTTCATTGGTGCGATTCTGGATGATTGAGGGTGAAAACTTAGTATATCAGTAGCACAGAAAGTTAAACATGATCATCAATAACTTTGTAGAGTTGTTAGAGCAACCCACTCTGTACAACCAATCGCCTATATATATTATAACACATGAAGCAAATTTGCTTGTAAATACAGTCGATCTATGTATATGTACAGATCGAGAAAGAGCAAGAGAGAGTTTCTTATGAGAGATCGCCGGAGTTTGATCGAGTTCAACGTGAAAGTGAGTTCTTCTTGATAGGGTTTTGCGTGAGACGAGATGCGTAGGGTTTATTTTTTAATATTTGGGAAGGATAATCTTGTAATATAGTATTTTAATAATAGCTCTGCTTGTTTTCTCTCGTGTCTTCCGCCCAAATTTGGGCGGATGAAAATTTGTAAAGAAGGAGGGGGATAAGCCATCCCTCCTATTGTCCTCTCTCTCCGTGTCTTCTTCCTACCGAACGAAGGAATTTTGTTCCTTCCCTCCTATTTTCCTTCCTTCCTACCGAACAGAGCATTAATGAAAATTTCGCTTTTATAAATTTTTTTTTTTTTTTTCGCGTGTGAAACTTATGTATAGAGGGCCTCACATTAAAGTTTGCCTATGGCCTCTCAAGATTTTTTCAATCTCAGGGCCGGCCTGAGTATTGGGCATGTAAAGATAGCCTTACAGTTTTGTTACAATTCACAAATTTGCTGAGGCGTTCCAGTCATTCCATGTTGGACAGAAACTAGGAGACGAGCTTGCAACCCCATTTGACAAGACCAAAAGTCACCTAGCTACTTTGTCAACCAAAAAGTATAGTGTTAGCAAGAGAGAGCTCCTGAAAGCGTGCACCTCTAGAGAATTTTTGCTGATGAAGAGAGATTCATTTGTCTACATCTTCAAGCTCGCACAAGTATGCCTTCCTTCGTATGTCTATATAAATATTCTTATTTTGGTCTTAGTGTCATTATTAACAATAAATTGCTCTCTTTCTTATATCTTACTGTAATGGCATTGATTACAATGACCCTCTTCCTAAGAACTGAGATGCACCGATATTCAGAAACTGATGGAAGGAAATATACTGGTGCTTTGTTTTTCACTCTGATTATTAACATGTTTAATGGATTACCTGAGATTTCCTTGACAATTGCAAAGCTTCTAGTCTTTTAAAAGCAAAAAGCTTTTTGTTTTATCCCCCCTGGGCATATGCACTTCCCAGATGGATCCTGAGGATCCCATTACATTATTAGAGGTTATCGGGTATCCCTCACTTACTGCTCAAAGACTTGTTCAGCTTAGTTCCCCATATCTGCTGCAGATGATAACTAGTCAAATGTTCTCTGCAGATTTTTTAGACAGTACTTGCTCATCTTACTTGTCAACCAGATGTCTTCTGCATTGTTCCGATTTATAGGGGCAATGGGCAGGAACATGATTATTGCAAATTCATTCAGATCATTGGGTGGCTTTATCCTATCATGAGGTGGAAAACATGAGTCAATCTTGAGAAACAATTCTTCTCATACTTTTAAGACTTCATATAATATATATATATATATATATGCAACAGAGGATATAAAGAAATGCTGGATTTGGGGTTACTAGATGTCACCATTGATAAATGGGCAGACTGCAATTGCAGTAAATGAATTCCTTGGGCAGACTGGAATAGATACATGATTCCAACTATTCCCAAGGAATTCATTTACTGCAATTGCATTCTGCCCATACATCAATGGTGACATCCAGTAACCCCAAATCCACCATTTCTTTATATCCTTTGATGCATAAAAAAAAATGTATTATATGAAGTCTTAAAAGTATGAGAAGAATTGTTTCTCAAGATTGATTCATGTTTTCCACCTCGCGATAGGATAAAGCCACCCAATGTGAAAAGTGTGAGCAATGCAAATGATCCAAATGTATTTGCAATAATCATGTTCCTGCCCATTGCCCCTATAAATCGGAACAATGCCGAAGCCATCTGGTTGACAAGTAAGATGAGCAAGTACTGTCTCAAAAATCTGCAGAGAACATTTGACTAGTTATCATCTGGAGCAGAGGGAAATATGGGGAACTAAGCTGAACAAGTCTTTGAGAGATTCATTTTTCTTTAATTCTTACCTTCCAACGTTTGGATCGAATCCAATAACATAGTAAGTGAGGGATACCCAAATGGCAACCTCTAATAATGTAATGGGGATCCATCTGGAAGTGCCTATGCCCATAGGGGATAAAACAAAAAGTCTCTTTGCTTGTAAAAGACTGGAAGCTTTGCAATTGTCAAGAAAATCTCGGGTAATCCATTAAACATGTTAATAATCAGAGTGAAAAACAAAGCACCAGTATATTTCCTTCCATTAGTTTCTGAATTTCGGTGCATCTCAGTTCTTAGGAAGAGGGTCATTGTAATCAATGCCATTACAGTAAGCTATAAGAAAGAGAATAAAAGGGATCGTTAATAATGACACTAAGACCAAAAGCAGAATATTTATATATATAGATATATGAAGGAAGGCATACTTGTGCGAGATTGAAGATGTAGACAAATGAATGTCTCTTCACCAGCAAAAATTCTCTAGAGGTTCAAGCTTTCAAGAGCTCTCTCTTGCTAACACCATACTTTCTGGTTGACAAAGCAGCTGGGTGTCTTTTGGTCTTGTCAAATGGGGTTGCAAGCTCGTCTCCTAGTTTCTGTCCAACATGGAATGGCTTGAACACCTCAGCAAATTCTTTTACTATAAGGCTCATCTTTACATGCCCAATACTGCTTCTGATCTTTCTTTGATGTCACCTGTAGTAATATATATAGTTAGTTTTTACTTTTTATATGCTCTGCATCTTATTAAAGGAAAATGGGATTGTAAGGACCTACTCTTCGTGGGACTATAAATCCTGTGAATATGTTCCATAATCCATAAAATGCAGAAGCAACAATGGAAGCAATATGATGGTTCGGAGTCACAGCCACAGTCATCATGCCATAAAATGAGAAGTACATGAAGAACAAGTACCAAAAGAATTTGGCAACACTCCATTCAAATCCGATCATTGCATAAACTATAACACCATATACTGTAGGTTGTGCAAAAGTATATGGAAGCTCAATGGCAACCTGCAAAGGAGGAAGAAATTTCATTAAGGGACATGACCAAATAAGATCTACATCATTTACATGAATTGTGAAGTTTGTAGTGAATGAATACTAGATACCTGACCAAGGCATATGGCAAAGTTGAGTACATTCCAGCAGCTCTTTCTCTGTAAAAGACTGTTCGTTCAACAGCCACCACCGGCTGCACCGATGAGGCATTTCCTAAGAAGAGAACAACAGCATACATAGAACCCATAGCATTATAAAGATCTTGTTACCTTGTCCTGCAATATACATCAAGATTAGATTGAAATGGAAATTGGGAATACAATAGTTTGAACTTTTTAACTGCTTTGATTCTATTTTTATAACTCACCTTTTGGAACCAAGGCACCAAAACATTGTCCCAAACATCAATGCTATGAAGGTTGTGAAAAAAAATCTCACTGCAGTATATGGTGGATTACGCCAATATGACCAATGTTGCTTCCATAGGCAAGCCATGCATTGGGTGAAGAATGACTGAATATTGAGTAGAGGGAAATAAAGGTCCTTTGAACCAGGACTAGGTGTGCCCAATTCTTTGATTAAAGCTTTGTTTCACCAAAATAATATCACAAAATTTAGATGTGCAACTGGGAAAGGGTATTCAAATATTTATCAGATTTCTAATGCTTGTAAGGATAACTTCTCAATCTCATTATGTGCTTTATATTTAAACCAACCTATATAATTCTGAACTCCTATAAACTTCAGTGAAATCGACCCCCAAAGCTGTTTCCTGCGCTGAAGTAGTAACTTCCAACATCCAAGTTGCTGGATTGTAGCCATCTTTAATTTGACTTATTCCTTCAATTGCCTTGTAAAAAAAGCAAGTGATGTGCTAGTGAGTAAATTTTGAGCAATTAAAGCTAGAAGTATATTGTCATTAGTCGTAGTTTCATTTATATTTCATTTCATCTCACCTCAAAATAATTGATTAAATGACAAGAATGGCGACCCAGTGACCCAACATATATCTCTTGTCCTCCTCGCTTCATTAGGAAAAGCTGCAAGTCAATTTTTTATATGTCAATACATATATGATAGAATGAAATCATATACAATGCTAATTCTTATTATAGATTAACAGTTTCTTACCTCATCAAAAGCTTCAAATATGTCAATGCTTGGTTGATGGATGGTACATACAACAGTTCTTCTTGTGTCTGCAGTATTCCTAACCTTTCTCATCACAATTGCAGCAGCTCTTGCATCTAGCCCTGAAGTTGGTTCATCCATAAAAATCATGGAGGGATTTGCCTCCAGCTCAACAGCAATGGTTAGTCTCTTTCGCTGCTCAGTTGAAAGGCCATTCACACCCGACAACCCAACTAGTGCTTCCTTTAATGGGGTCAGCTCCACGAGTTCCATGACCTTCTCAATGAACATCTGCCAAAATGAGTGAGAGTTAATAGTCAAATGCAATATTAGTGCGTTTTTTTTTTTTTTTTCCACCCATCCTTCAGCCCTAGAAGTTTCGTATAGTGATTAGTTGGTGGTTTTAGGAGAAAAATAAATAATTGAATCTAGAGACTTCTGCTACTCTGTTTCCACTCACATATGGAACCGCTCATTGAGCAAATCCAGTAAAACTCATCTAGAGCCAGTTTTGGACAATTTATGTTTTCATTTAGCTTATAATTCCGGTTTTTTTTTTTTTTTTTTTTTTTTTTACATAATAATAATAATAATAAATAAAATATCATAGCAAATGAGTAGCTTTAGCAGCACCATGTGAGGCAATGTGAAGATATCTTCTCAGTTCAACAACAAAATAGTAGATTAAGGCAAAATGCTCAATTATGCTAAGTGATGCCCATGAACTCCTTAAGCATGGCTACCTTAGCAGTCAAACCAAGAAGACACGAAGTTCAAATCTGATCAAATTTGGACCAGCTGAAATTGCACAAAGTAGGTTCAACTTTCCTGTTGAATTCAAGATAAACTCCAGTACGACCAGAGCACAACCAAGTCAAGTTCAATAACCCTATTCTCTGTCTCTTTTGCTTACTTTCAACTCCTACAAAAAATGCTTCAGAAATACTAACCTTGCGGGTTTCAGAATTGACTTCTGGCGGTAATCGTAGCCGAGCTGAGTAGAGCAAGGACTCATAGACAGTAACATGAGGGGAATGGATATTATTTTGCTCACAGTACCCAGGAATTCAAGCAAATGTTTCTTGCTTCCTTGGATACCCAGAAATTGTAATGTTATCCTCAATACATCCACTAGTTTTCCTACCAGCGAGCACATCCATCAGAGTTGTTTTACTGACACCACTAACACCCATTAGAGCTGTAAGAACCCCTGGCCTGAAAGCTCCACTAACTCCCTTCAGAAGCACCAATCTATCTTCAAGGACACCCTGATCTTTCATTTCCTACAAGTCATATTTATACAATCACTCCTTGCTTTTAGACTCTGTTACCTT